GAATCAGACACTAAAAGTTTTTCAAAAAGTAAGGGATAAAGTTAAACTTATAGAATTTAAGACCTAAAGCACCATGTATATAGAAGCTTGCTTTTAGTCTTACATGGAAACTTATAAATGTGTTGGATTAGGTATCTCTAATCTGGATATATTTGATCATTTGAAAATACGAAGGGTTATCACATCAATACTAACCTAGTAACCAGGAAATGAGAGCAAGAAAATCTTAAAATTAATCTAGTATAATATTTGAAGTATCATTTACTAAGCTGTACTGAAATTTCTAAAGTACTAAAATTATAATTTTAAGTCAAATTTCTAATTTAGAAATCTGTTTTACCTCATCAAAGCTTCAAATATGTCAATGCTAGTTGGTGAATAGTCAAACAATTGTCCTTCCTTCTAACCACATTCTTAGACGCTCGCATGACAACTGCTGCCGCTCGTGTATCTAAACCGCTAGTAGGTTCATCCATCAAGATTATAGAGGGATGGCAACAATTGACAGCTATTGCAGCCACTACGTTGCTCAGTGGATAGCCCTAAACCTGGTACGCCAATTAAGGCATCCATAAATTTCATCAACTCAATGACTCAAGGACTTGATTCACAAATTCCTGTTAAAACATGTAATAGTAACTTATCATACGTTACTGTAGTGCAAACACCAATAAGAAAAACAACATTATTGACTATTCGTACTGTTGTCTAATGACACCAGATTTATTATCATATCAATAGAAGAAAATCTAAATTGATGTTATGGAGAATGAAAGTCTAAGAGCATGCACAATTAAGTATTGAACAATCAACCAAATTTTAATTGGTGAGTTTTAGCCAAACACGCAGGAAAATTATCCATGCTGTTCCTCAGGGACTTTGAGAACTAACTTTGTAGATGCTCTATCATTGGAAATTAGCAAGCCCAGATTTCAAGAAGCTCCCTGTGGCTAAATGAGCTAAGAATCTCTGTGGCACTTTGTGACCATATTGGGCAATGTCATAAACCGTTTCTCCTTTCTTTCCCAAGGTAAGTCGCGCTGCATTTCTCTGGATCAAGAACAAATCCGAAGACAACAACATCAATAAACCAGTAGCAGAAGTTTGAACTTCAGACACCTGTGAGCACCTATAGTAAAGTTGAGCGCACTAGGAAAGGTTTGCTCAACAGAATCCATGCAGGACCAGGTGCTGAAAGTTCAAAAATATTTTGAACTGCAAACTCATTTGGTTGACTGATGGCATGCAAGAAACTAAAAAAGTGGCAACCAGAACCCCAGAGACTGATTCTAAAATTAAATAGGGATAAGTTATTAATGATTTACATATTTCTCATATTAAATTTGAATCACGCACTTGCGGCATATTCAAGCATGTCACTAATCCCTTTAATTTAACATTCTCACAAGCATGTGTACCCTGAAAACTTTATCATTTTTCATAATTCTACCCTTTATTTTTGTCAGCTGTATTCTAGTCATTTTTAAAAGATTTTTTACCCATGCTCCCATTGCCACTGTCAGACGTATGACCAAAATGAATAAACCAGTGGCACAAAATTACTTGTTGGCAAATAATTCTAAATTATAAGCAAGTCATTGCTCCCCTTCAACATCTCACCCCACTAACTACACTTAGTTGTCAATTCACAAACTTGCAGTTTCTTAATAACCAAAACTGTGTCTATACTAGTTCATGGTCAGCCTCACCAGTCATAAATTCATACAGTAATCAATTCCAATAGTTAATGAAGATCCTTAAACTTCAATGATAAAGGACGCAGATTCAAAACAATGCCCAAGAAAAAACTTATAAGCTAAATTTTACATACCCAAAAGGTTTCACTACAAACTACACACAAACCTCAAACCATGCAGAACCAAAACCAAGAAAAAAAACTTTTAAACTTTGTACCAATCATATGAAATATAAGATCACTATCTGATACAGTGACAAAACGAAAAAACAACCAAAAATCAAAAGGCTTAAAAGGAAAAAGACTACTGAGAATGATAGGCTTTGAACATATATGAGTCCTGCCTGAACACCTCTTCTCTGCTTGGCTATACTCACTAAAAATCCAACAAAAACAATTAACAGTTGTATAAACAGTTTCCAATATTGATACACATCAAATTATACTGCACAAAGTGAACTACAAGTTAAACACGATGGTGATGTGACGTGGTTGAAGAGATTGGTGGGAAGATACTAGGAAGGGAGGAAACACGATGGAGAAAGGGGTGCAAGCGGTCTGTAGAGTGGGGTGTCGAAGGGTTTTGTGTTTGTGGTAGGCTTGGGTTTTGCATAGGTGAAAGTTAATAATCCTTTTCATCTTTTTTTAGCTTATACTAATTTTTTATAATTATTGCTTAACTATAAAATTATTAACGATTTACTCTTTTGCCCCTCTCTTATTAAAACTAACAAAAATATTAAACGTTCACCTAACGGTAGGGGGTTTTAAGTTATACCGATATCAAAGGGGTTAATAGTTTAGGCCAAATCTGGGAAGGTTGTATTAAAAATTGTATGCATGATTAGAACAATCCAAAAGTAAAAACAAAAAACCCAACAACTATCTGCATATAAATATTAAACCAAATAATAAGTGAAAATTAGTTAATTTGGTCAAATTGAAAGTGACCAAAAACTAGGGTGATGTCGGAACACATTATTTTAAACCAAAATTTTATTTTATTTCTTAAAAATTAAATATAATACCCTTGGGCAACTGTCAAACAAGCACATGAGCTGGCTTTCTTAATATAAAAATTAATAATAATTCATAAACTGAGCTCCTACTTTACAATTTAGGGTGCGTTTGGCTTATTATTTGGATAGGATTTTGGGAATGTATTGGATAATTGAATATGGGAAGTATTACGAGGTAAAATTTAAAAATTTATAAAAAAACCCTATAAGTTTTGCTAATTTTAAATACCCCAACATTTAAATGACAAAAATACTTCCACTACCTGCAGTGCCAGATTACTTCCAGCCACCACACGCTGGAATCTAGCCGAAAAATCGCGTTACGACACAGACCGGTCGGATCTGTGTCGTAACACGTTATTATGGCCTTTTCTAGCCAGATCCACCACAGATCTGGCCGGAAAAGGCAGATCTACGGCCGAAAAAGGCCAAAACGACGGCCATCTTTGGCCATCAGTGACGGCTAAAGATATGGCCATCGTTTTCGGTCAATGATGGCCAAGATTGGCCATCGTTGACGCGCAACGATGGCCATTTTTGGCCGTCGCTGACGGCCAGATCCACTGGTGGATCTGGCTGGAAAAGGACAAATCGGTGAATTACCGTCTAGTTCCGGTCGATAATTCACCGTTGTGGCAGATTCTGGCTACCACCGACGGTGGTTGCCAGAATCTCAAGTATGGGTCACGAGAGTGTTTTTGTTAATTTTTAAACTTTTTTTTAGGAGGTATTTAATGAAATTAATAACCTTTTAGGGCTAAAAGTAATTAAAAAAAAATAGGGTAATATTTCTGGAATAAATCCAAACATTATTTGGAGAATAGCATTGAGAATATGGATATATAATAAGCCAAACATGCCCTTAATTATTCTTGTCATTTGCAAACTTGTGAGACATTATCTCACTTAGAATGACCCATAGCTTTAATTTGATAATTTGCTATAATAAAATATAGCTAACATGTGTCAGGACAAAACAAAGATAATTGCTTGTTAGTTTCATAGGTCAATGATTTCTGAAAGTGTATTTCCAGTGAAGAAAAGCTAAGAAAGTGCTGAGTTCCAGCTCAGCTTTCAGTCCATTTTAGTCTCAGGACACTCGTCTAATTCAAATTTATAATCATGCAATCTCACATTCAACATCTTCATCCCCACTACACCCAGTAGTCAATTCACAAACTTGCAGTTTCTTATTAACCAAAAACTTGCTTTACTAGTCATGGTCAACCGTGAGGCTGATTCCACAGTTAATGAAGATCCTTAAAACTTTAATGATAAGAAGGATGCATATTCTCAAGTCTAACAATACCCAAGAAACTGCTATTCTAAACGTGATGATCTGCTTTTCAAAAACTAATTCAGATAATGAATCTGATTATTGAGATCAGGTCCGAGCTGCATGAATGAGACAAGTACCACTGCACCAACATAGATTATCAAATAAAAAGCCTAAGTTCATTCCAAGGCCATAGCCAATAGTTTGCCAAATAGTTAAGTATAAGCATATAAATATACACTACAATTTTGATTAGTCACAACAATGATGAGAAGATGAGTTTTTTTAATACTAAGGAGCAACCAAATCCTCGCCAGCTTTAGAAACAGTGGAACACATAAATTAGTTTCTGTCTTTTATGTTCTTAGTTTACAACAAAATAGATGAAAATGAAAGAGAGACAACCAGGGCGCAAAAGCTCAAGTACAGAACAATAATGGTTATAACAAAACAATAAGAGTTGCTAATATGGATATGGAGAGCTAAACAATTGAATTATTTTGTGTATGATCACAACATAAAATTAAGAAGATTTAAGTAGAAAGATGACAATAACAACTTCTATAGACAATTTCATCAGACCAAGTAACTGAAATATTAAGAAAAGCAAGTAGAAGAAATGAACCAAACCTACCTAATAGATCAACAATTCTGTAAATACTAATTTTCTTCGACTATAATTCACAAAATCCTTAATAAAAAAATACTCCCTTCGAGTTATAATTTACAAAGCCATAATCCATCTCCTTAAATTCTAAAAGCCAGATGGTTGATCAATAATCATGTAGAATGTTTTTAGACAAAAGAAAACATAATTTTTTATTAAATTACAATTAGATGAAGGTAGAAAGAGAGAAAGGGGAAGATGTTATGTCGTTTCACCATTATTGATGAATTCGGCATATATAAGAAATTCTGATTTGCAGAGTTATCTCATAGCTTAATTACTTGAGAATATAAAAAGCTTCCGTGGTTCCTGAATCCGATGCCATGTGGAGCATTTCAGGAAGCTCAGCTCATGAAGAAAAAGCTTAGTAAACTGCAGAGTTGCAACTCAGCTTTGAGTCCAATTAACTTCTCAGTACACTTGTCTATAGTAAAGTACCTTCTTATCCATTCAATCAAAACTTCCCTGTCACCTGTTGAAAAAAACAGCAGCTAAACTTAGCACACAACGTCCATGGAAGAAAAATTAACTGAAATAATAAATAAACATTCCTTAGAGATTCTCTCGTAATATAAGGGAGAGGAATCGTTTAGAGATTTGTCAAGATAATATAGTGAGATCTTCGATACAATAACTTTCCAAATGTATTTAAAACAATGACCAGTATATAGAAATTCTGAAACCTTTTAAAGATTTCCTGAGAGAGCCAAGCAGAAGGGTCATCCTGCATAATTCAAGGGCACTTTAGTGCAGATTTCTTTCACAATCCCATTAACTTTCTAAATTTTCCTCTATAAGACCTTCTACCAGAAAAGAAATTCTTCAAAGTTACCTATGTTATATGAATCATTGAATATATAAGAAATTAATTTCTTAAAATAAATGTCACTTGTAGAGGTCTTGAGAAGTGCAAATGCACAAGATAGAACTAGAAAGATCAATGCATCCATTATAAGTTAGATGTAACATCATTTAAAGTAAGAGTGGAATTCCACACAGACAATTCAGCCACATACATAATTATCACACATTGTTGACCCAAAAAAGGATTATCTCAATTCATAAATGGAGTTAATTTGACTAAAATAAAATATTTAGCACTACCTTCCAACGTTAGCAATGCCACTAATGTCATTAATGATGCCTATCTTTGCCTGATTTGACTTTGAACCTAAAAGCTTCGGGAGGACCTGTATAAAAATGAGAATAATAAGTAAACTAAGATGCAAAATTTACATAAAATAATAACAATATATAAGCCGCTGTCTAAGTCATAGTACAAGATCCAAGCCTCATCCAGTAAAGAGAGCTAATCTGCTGAAAGGTCTAGGAAGCGTGGAGAGGTATAACTATTAGGACCAGATTCTTTTCATGGAAGAGATGAAGAACGAAAGTCTAATCAAGACTAAGCAGAATCCAAGGGCTATGTAAGTTGACTAGTGTGTGTGTGTGTATATACATGATAGATATAAATATGAATAAAAGTTATTCTTTGCAGAATGCTTCTAAGGGATATAGTGGCAATGAGGTAAAGAAAAGCACTGCAACACTTACTTTTGTTCCTAGGATAAATGAAAATGAGGTAAAGAAAAATACAAGAATTAGCAAGATAGTTTAATTAGACTTCTAGAGTCAAAACTCTAAGGAAAATAAGTTAAAAACAGAATTGTATAATATATTTGGAAAGTATCTCAAGCATTAAATCAATTAAACCTTCTAGAATGAATATGGTTCTGTAATTCTGACCGAGTCCAGTTGGTTTACAGATTCCATCTACATCGTGGTCTGCAATATTTTTCAGTGTTTGCTTCTCGACAGCAACCTGTAGAAAGATATATCTCAGTCAAAGAAAAGATTTGTACAAAAAGCTTATTTCCCAAGTCAGTGTTGAAGGAGCAGAGATAACAAATAGATGAATAGTAGGAATAGAGAAATTATCAAAATAAACATCTTTGAGTATTCACAGAAAGTGATACCAACGTGTATGTGTTCCTTGCTTCAAACAGTAGCCAAAACAAGTTTTCAACTTGATTTTCTCAGTTGAGGATAATAAAGTCCACATTTAACTAAATCTGTTGTATAATGAAGCAGATTTATTATCATATCAATGACTCACTTGTTTGATAGGAGTTGGAAAAAAAAATTAAATTGATGTATTGGAGATGAAAGTCTAAGAGCATGCACAATCAAGTAATTGAAACAAATACAACCAAATTTAATTGTGAGTTTTGGCCAAACAGTCAGGAAAATATCCATGCTATTCTCAAGGACTTTGAAACTAACTTTTGTAATGCTCTATCATTGGAAATTTAGCAAGCCCAGATTTCAACACATCCCACTGGCTATATGAGCTAAGAATCTCTGTGGCATTTGTGACCAATATGGGCAATGTCATAAACCAGTTCTTATCTTTCCCAAAGTAAGTTGGCTGCATTTCTCTGGATCAAGAACAAATCCCGAAAACAACAAATCAATAAACCAGTAGCAGAAGTTCGAACTTCAGACACCTGTGAGCACTATAGTAAAGTTGAGCGTCCACTAGAAAAGATTTGCTCAAAAGAATCCATGTAGGACCAAGTGGCTGAAGTTCAAAAAAATTTGAACTACAAACTTCATTTAGTGACTGATGGCATACGAGAAACATAAAAAAGTGGCAACCAGAACCCCAGAGAATGATATTAAGATAAATAAGAGATAAGTTATTAATTGATTTACATATTCTTTATATTAAAATTTGAATCCCGCACTTGCGGCATATTCAAGCATGTAATAGTCCCTTTAGTTTAACATTCTCACAATCATTTGTACCCTGAAAACTTTTATCATTTTCATAATTCTGCCCTCCATATTTTGTCAGCTGTACTCTAGTAATTTTTAAAAGATTTTTACCCATAGCTCCTCATTGCCACCATCGAGATGTATGACCAAAATGAAGAAACCAGTGGCACAAAATTACTTGTTCGCAGTAATTCAAAGTTTATAAGCATGCCATTGCTTCCCTTGAACATCTCATCCCACTACACTTAATAGTCAATTCACAAACTTGCAGTTTCTTAACAACCAAAAACCTGCTATACTAGTCATGGTCAGCCTCACCCAGTCATAAATTCATACAGTAGTCAATTCCAACAGTCAATGAAGATCCTCAATCTTCAATGATAAAGGGTGCATACTCTCAACAATACCCAAGAGAAACACTCGAAATTTACATACCTAAAAGGTTTTACACTAACACTACACATCAACGCCCCAAACCATGTGGAACCAAAACCAAGAAAAAATTTTCAAACATTTGTACAATTTATAATATATAAGATCACTATCTGATATGCATTACCATTTCTAGCTTTATTTCAAACATTTGTAAAAATTTCGGAATCGAATGATTCGAATTATAAGTTGAGTTAGGAATTTAGCACCTTAAGTCATCATTTATGACTTTGGGCTTATGCTCCACTTCTTCCATCCCCAGTCTGTGGTCTTTTGATGGAAATCATTTGTTTATATAGCAGCCAGCTTTTAAATATACTAGTTGGTTTTTTTTTTGTTTTTTTTTTTTTTTTTTTTTTTTTTTTCTAAGTTTTGCTCTATAAGAAGCAAGGCTAATGTGATGTAATCCCCTTTTCTTTTTCTAATAACTTTTCAGCCTGTCTTGAATTATTTTTATTTTGAGGACTTCTCTTGAAGAATGCGATGTAAGAACATAAACTTCCTTTCCCTTGCTTTCTCATAGATAATGTGGATAGGTTTATCTTCTCAAAATATGGGGAATAATATATTGCTAAACTATTATCCTCTCAAAGTATTGGGAACAGCCATATTGCCTATCTATCTACCTTTTAGCAGAAGTGCACCCAATTTTCGGATGCAATACAAAGGTTTTTCCCTCCGCTATTTTTTTTCATAATCTGAGTTCTTTCACAAAATATATACCTTAAAAACATTGTGTTCCGCTTGACAATTACTATGGCTATTAGTATAAAGTGGGGTTCTTATATATATCTTCAGCAGTGTTATTATATGCAAAATAAAGCTGAAATTCTTAGTTAAGCCAGCATTTTAGTACTTTTGTGGTGCCTTCAATATCATAGCAATGTGGTATAAGGCTTGCATTAATTTGTGGATTTGCTCACATTTTAGCTTTGATTTCTATTATTGATACAAAGGAGATGGAAAAAAAGAGAAAACAGGAGGAAAAATATGAAATGTTGTGTCTCAGTGATGTTGTTCGTTATTTATATTTCCCTTATATCACCTGACATTAATAGCTGTTATGTTTGTTTGTAGGGTTTGTTATTTCTTCTCTGTGCATTGTGTACCTGATGTTTCGAAGGTTCGTGTTGGAAAGCTGTCGCCATATGGAATAGAAACACTCAGAAGCATCAGAGATTTTCTGGTGTTACATTTGCATTAGGCCAGATCCATCACAGGGACAGTTATACTTAGATGTGTGGATGCGGGTATAAGAACCTTGCTAGAAAGGTTTCATGATTATTTCACATAGCCGCATATGTTATTGATTTTATAGAGCAAATGACGCTTCTTGCTTTGGAAAGTTATTCCAACAACCTTTGTGAAACTGAAAAACTAAAAGAGAGAAAATTGAAAAATGCCGTGAATTCATTTCTATATCTCAGAGAGATACATTTGTTTATACAGAGGAAGAGAGAAGAAACTGACGTTGAGAGTAAAACCCAGATAAATGATAAACTAAAGAGCAAAGTTTTTCTTCTGTTCTCAAAACGACGTCGTTCTCTCTTTTGGATTTCCAGTTTTACGAAACTACCCTCTTTTCAGCCTGGCTAACATTCCCCCTCAGACTGCACTATGGTTACTGAATTCTCACCATTTTCTACTGAATTGTCTCCTAGACTTCAGTTTGTTGTCTTCAAAACATTTCTGCATTTCCTGCACTTTATCAAAAAACTGCATTTGCTTGTCTGCACTTCCCGCACTTTCAATAACATTGCATTTGCTTCTGCACACCACTAAGTTTCTATAAACTTCCGAATTCAACATTGCATCTGCTTCTACACACTACTAAGTTTCTATAAACTTCCAGAACTCAATTTTACCAACATTACTATTGAACTGCTTCTGCACTTTTTCAAATAAAATCCACCACCACATTACTGGATTCCTACTAACATCCAGCATTTAGTAAGCATTATCACATTCAACACTTCACCTCCTTCACATTCAACACTTCAAATAAAATCCATCACCACATTACTGGATTCCTACTAACATCCAGCATTTACTAAGCATTATCACATTCAACACTTCACCTCCTTCACATTCAACACTCAATAAAATCCATCACCACATACTGGATTCCTACTAACATCCAGCATTTACTAAGCATTATCACATTCAACACTTCACCTCCTTCACATTCAACACTTCAAATAAAATCCTCACCACATTACTGGATTCCTACTAACATCCAGCATTTACTAAGCATTATCACATTCAACCTTCACCCTCCTCACATTCAACACTTCAAATAAAATCCATCACCACATTACTGGATTCCTACTAACATCCAGCATTTACTAAGCATTATCACATTCAACATTTCCCCTCCTCACATTCAACACTTCATCTTCTTCATACTTACACTCTGCACTCATCATAGAGCACCACCACATACACACTATTATAATGCAACCATCACTTCAATTCAACACTTATCTCCATAATTCATATTCTCATACCACAAACATCAAGTAAGTACTGCAAAACAGGACTCCAAGCAGCAAAAAAAAAACAGTAGCATTTTATCAACATGCCACAAACACCTACTCAAAACAGCAACAAATAGTACCATTTTATCAACATGTGCAGTTCTTTCTGATGCTTCTACATATAGTTAGCAGGATTGCCAAAAACACATCATATCATTTTATCAACATGCCACACTTCTCAAAATAGCAACACTTCAATATTCTTTCCGATGCTTCTGCATATACTGCAATATTAATTCTTACTACCAGCATTCATTTCATCACACCACAAACAACATCACAAAACAACAGCACAATGGAAGTTCAACATACAACAGATTCTCTGTTCTTTTGTTTACAGTGTTGGCAGAATTTTACACTGCTTTAGAGAATTAAGATGATCCTGGACTATTGTCAACTTTAATCTCTGAATTTGGGATCTCAACAACACAAAGTTTGTGTCTCAAAACCTGAAACTGACTAATGGAAAGTGCTTTTTCAGAATATCAGCAATTTGAAGTTTGGGGGAACATATTGCACATAACCTTTTTTGCAAGAACTTGATCACGTATGTAGTGAGTATCAATGTCAATATGTTTTGTTCTGCGTGAAAACTGGATTTGATGCCAAAGCTCCAACACTCACATTGTCACACCAATGACAGGACAAGTGTTTAAAGACACCCTATTCAGTAAATAAACTGTCCAACCAGGCCAATTCAGTTGTTGTTTGGGCTAGTGCTCTATATTCAGCCTCTGTAGATGATAATGCCACTACTTTTGCTTACGAGAACTCCATTGAACCAGATTAGGACCTAGGTACACACAATATCCACTAGTAGACCGTTGATCATCTAAATTACCTCCCCAATCTGCATCGGTATAAACTTCAACATTAAGAGAGCCTGTTGGTCTAAACAGCAAACCATGGAACTGAGTACCTTTAGATACCTTAGAACTCTCTACACGCTTGCCATTGTAGCTCAGTAGGAGCCTGAAGGTACTGACTAAGTTTAATCACTGTAAAGCTGATATCAGGCCTGGTTAAGGTGACATATTGTAGAGCTCCAATAGTACTTCTATAGAGACTGGGGTCTTTAAACAACTCACTATCAGCTGCAAATAGTTTGGTTCATGCTGCCATAGGAGTAGGACAGGGATGTGCCTCTTGCATCTTGGTTTTGACAAGCAAATCATGAACATATTTAGTTTGGTTTAAGTGTAGACCCAAGCTGACTTGGTTGCTTCTAAGCCCAAAAATATGTGACAGCCCCAAGAGTTTTCAAGGCTTGTGAACCAACGCTTGTTTAGTTTGTCAAACCAGGCTCGTGGGGCTTGTTTAAGACCATAGAGAGCCTTGTTAAGTTTACAAACTGGGAAGACAAGTGAGAGACCTTAAACCCTTCTGGTTGTCTCATATAGACTGTTTCATTCAATGACCATTAAGGAAGGCATTGTTCACATCCACTTGTTGTATATCCCAACCATAAGTGATAGCCAATGTGAAAATGATTCGAATTGTTGCTGGTTTGACAACGGGGCTAAAAGTTTCAAATAATCTAAGCCAGGAGTTTGTTGAAATCCTTAGCAACTAATCTAGCCTTAT